TGACCCCTCACACGAGGGGGGGGGGTGTGGTAGACAGTGACCCCTCACACGAGGGGGGGGTAGACAGTGACCCCTCACACGAGAGGGGGGTGGTAGACAGTGACCCCTCACACGAGGGGGGGGTGTGGTAGACAGTGACCCCTCACACGAGGGGGGGGTGTGGTAGACAGTGACCCCTCACACGAGGGGGGGGGGTGGTAGACAGTGACCCCTCACACGAGAGGGGGGGGTAGACAGTGACCCCTCACACGAGGGGGGGGGTGGTAGACAGTGACCCCTCACACGAGGGGGGGGGTGTGGTAGACAGTGACCCCTCACACGAGGGGGGGTGTGGTAGACAGTGACCCCTCACACGAGGGGGGGGGGGGGGTAGACAGTGACACCTCACACGAGGGGGGGGGGGTGGTAGACAGTGACCCCTCACACGAGGGGGGGGGTGTGGTAGACAGTGACCCCTCACACGAGGGGGATGGGGGTGTGGCAGACAGTGACCCCTCACACGAGGGGGATGGGGGTGTGGCAGACAGTGACCCCTCACACGAGGGGGATGGGGTGTGGCAGACAGTGACCCCTCACACGAGGGGGATGGGGGTGTGGCAGACAGTGACCCCTCACACGAGGGGGATGGGGGTGTGGCAGACAGTGACCCCTCACACGAGGGGGATGGGGGTGTGGCAGACAGTGCCCCCCCCCTCACACGAAGGGGTAAAGGGTTCCTGTATGACAACTATGCGCGTGTTTCTGCTAGAAACACGCGCTGTTAGGTCATCCAATCTTGTGTTTATGTGCGAATGTTTAAGGGGCCTGACGGCTGAGTTGACAGCGCTCGATGTTTATAGTCCTAAGGGTCCGGCTTCGATCCCCGGCGGAGGCGAAAACAAATGGGCAAAATTTCTTTCACCCTGGTGCTCCTGTTCACCTAACAGTAAATAGTTACCTGTGAGTTAAACAGTTACTATGGGCTGCTTCCTGTGTGTGTGTGTGTGTGCGTGCGCGTGTGTGTGGGGGGAAAATTAGAAGTAAGGACGTGCTCGAAACGCTGTGTGGGCTAGTGGCTGTACAAGAATGTAAGAATGTGTGTGTACTCACGTAATTGTGCTTGCGGGGGTTGAGCTCTGGCTCTTTGGTCCCGCCTCTCAACCGTCAATCAACAGGTATTGGCGTGTGTGTGTGCGCGCAGCCCATTCCACCGAATAGACAGTACGTTTTAAATTTATTAAGTACAATCATGACTATTGGCATAGTACATGACACTTAATCGCCAGCATCGCCCCAAAATATTGTGAATAATAGTTTACTTGAAAAGCTGTATAGAAAACCACGACCTAACCTAATCTTGGGAGTGAAGGAGGACAAGCATGTCAATAGCATTTATTGCTTCTTAATTACAATTAGTACTTAACCGATAGTTATACTGATATTACAATTTTATAAAACTAATAAAACAAAACTAAAGTCTTTCAATGAATTATAAATTAACTAAGGATATTTTCAAATGTTGTATAAAATCTCTCTTGTTTAATAAAACTGAAAATGAACTTGCAAAACAGTAAGAAAGTTTCCTCTCCGGACCTAACCGAGTAAAGCAGAGGACTCCAAACAGAAAACGGGACAATATATCACTTTCGTGAGCGGATATCATTTCATATTACGTCCATTTTTGGCCATAGCGCGCATACGAGTGAAAAGCGACGTTATTTGTAAGAGGACGGGTTGCAACCTCGACCTGACTTTGGACAGTCTGCGTTGTCGCCTCTGTCGGCTCTGCTATCTTCACTGCTGCCGTGTCTTCCACTTTTTCTGTTATCAGGTCTTTGGTCGCCTCTGCCGCCACTATGAGACTTGGTAGGACATAGTAGGTAATTCAAGTGTAATTTAGTAATATTTCCCAGACACAAATGGGAATGAACTATGTATCTTGCGGGTGCGAAGTGGGGAATGTTAAGAACATCAGTCTTTATCAGACAAGTAGTGTTCTAGCTGAATGTGGGATATATTATTCAACACACTCCTTTCTCAACCTTCACTTCCATACTTGCCCTCCTTTCTGCTTCCTCACGTATTTCTCTCCCACAACATTGTGTTTCATCTTGCTCTCTTCCACTTGGTTCCTCACAGTTCGCTCTCCCTCCCGGCTTCCCCAACCCTTGCCTCCTCCCGCCTTGTGTTGCTCCGTCAACACGGTAATCCCGGGCTTATTCCGGGGGTCTTCCCGAGCACTGAGTGAGGGCCGGGTGGCATCTCACTGCTTGGGTGGGGGCTGGTGAGGGGGAGGATGGGGATGGGTGAGGGGGAGGATGAGGATGGGTGAAGGGAAGGAGAGGGTTGAGTGAGTAAAAGACGAGGAGGGGTAACAAGAAAGGAATGTGTTGAGGGGCAAAGGTTGCACTTGGGGGCAGGTTGGCGCCGGAAGCAGCTCCATGTCTCTAACGGCAGCGGTGGCGGTAGTATGTCCTTCCGCCACTGTTTGTGATGGTGTTGACCTCCAGCTCTGGGACCCGGCGATACTGCGTTCTTCCGCCACTGTTTGCTCCAAATGATTTTCATAGTGGGGCCCCCCCCATCCCCGGGGGAAGCCTAAAGTCTTGGTTGCATACCAGTTGTTTATCTTTGAGATGGTCACTTATTGTAGTGTGTGAAGTAGCAGAGTGTTTGAGCTGCGGGATACCGTTCTGGTGGCCTTATTGGGGCTCCTTACTACATATTAATGTGCTCCATCACATACTTACAAAGTAATATAATTTCAGGAATATAATAGTTATATAATTATAATATAATTTATGTAATTATATAATATAATTTATATAACTATATAATTCATGTTACTAATAACTATATAATATAATTCATATAACTAATAACTATATAATTCATATAACTATATAATTTATAAATATCATTATATAAGTAATATAATTTCAATATTTGGTATATTACAAGTATTGGCACATGGGTTTGGGCAATTGGTTACATATATAACGGGTTTTGGGTTCCTCTCAATCATGGAGATGACTTGTGCTCTTTATATTGCTTGGCCATGTTTATTAGTTTAAATTTCAGCTCAATATATTCTGCTTCACACGTCAGACCTTTTCTTTGTTCTGTGGAGAGTGGGAGATGGTTGTAGGGTCCAGAGCGGTTATCTTCTCCTGTAGTGAACGTTGTTCTCTCCTGCATCCTGGTCTCTCTTACTTGTACTTAACACACGTTCACGACATCATTATTTATCTTTATTTATATACAAGAAGATATAATTGGTTGAGAGAGTGCATAACATTGGTGTTCTTACATTCTCGTAAAGCCACAAACACCAATAGCGTTTAGGGCATGTTTCTAAGGGTAATGCACCTAGCCTCTCGAGACCTTGGTGAAGGCTATAGGTGGAGGAGACCTTGATCTGGGGTAAGACATCGGCACTTGGCTGCTAATGTATATATTTTCAGCTTATCCTTAACCCGTCACGTTACGGGCTATTCATGCCCGTGCCACCTCTTGGGTGGCTTAATCTTTATCAATCTTAACCGGTCACAAAACTGAGAGCGAGGAACCTCGGGAGACATCTCCCGTCACGCAGGGTGCAGTCGCACCTCCACAGATCTCCAGTATCTATTGATACTGGTAATAACTCAAAAGGGCCACCACTTACGGGCTATTCATGCCCGTGCCACCTTTTTGGGTGGCTTAATCTTCATCAATCAATCAATGAGAGCGAGACCCAGGCTTGTGGTGTGCAGGCGGTCACTGTGGGCGGCTGGGGAGAGCGGCGCACAAAGCAATTTGGATTGTAGTGTAGTGAGGCGGGCGCGTGCTGAAGGAAAGTGGGTGAGGGCGGCGGCGTGTGGGCGGCTCGTTCCGCCAACACAACTTTCACCTTACCTGGGGATGCTGCGGCTTCGTGCTGGGATGAAGGACAACTGGGGGAGATGAATACCTGATGCTGCCTCCTTTCGCATGATCAGTAGCGCTTGAACTGCGTCAACGCTAGGGTTTTCATGTCTGCCTCCGTCAACGCTAGGGTTTTCATGTCTGCCTCCGTCAACGCTAGGGTTTTCATGGCTGCCTCCGTCAACGCTAGGGTTTTCATGGCTGCCTCCGTCAACGCTAGGGTTTTCATGGCTGCCTCCGTCAACGCTAGGGTTTTCATGGCTGCCTCCGTCAACGCTAGGGTTTTCATGGCTGCCTGGGTCACCACAGCCGGGTCGTCATGGGTGCGTCACCACAGCCTTCAGAGGGACTTCAATCACGGAAGGATAGACTGGGAGAAAATGGAGGAGAGGGTACACGGGGAGCTAAACTTTTGGAGGTGGCGACACGGGCACCGCTAGAAGAGTTTGGGATTACCAGTGGGGATGTATGGAAGCTTTTGCTAGAGTTGGATGTGACAAAGGCTATAGGCCCAGATGGAATCTCACCATCGTTACTTAAATTAAGGAAGGAGCAGAAGCACTGTGACTGCCACTCTCCATAGTGAATAACAAATCACTGGTAACAGGTGAACTGCCAAAAATTTGGAAGACGGCTAACGTAGTCCCGATATACAAGAAGGGGAATAGACAGGAGGCACTGAACTACAGGCCAGTGTCCCTAATTTGTATACCATGCAAGTTGGTGGAGAAGATTGTGTGAAAAAAGCTAGTGGAACATCTGGAGTGAAAGAACTTTGTAACACAGCATCAGTATGGGTTCAGGGATGGCAAGTCCTGACTCACAGGATTAATTGAACTCTACGACCAGGCAACAGAAATCAGGCAAGAAAGAGAGGGGTGGGCAGACTGCATATTTTTGGATTGCCAGAAAACCTTTGACACAGTGTTGACACAGGCCGGTGGTCCACAGCCCCACCCCCATCACCTGGCCCCGCCCGACCCATTGCTCTCCCCGACACGCGGGGAAGGTAACCAGTCCAGGATGTGACTGACTCACCCACCACGTGCGTGTTGGGTGAGTCAGCTGTGTGACGGGTCACCTCACCCTTGACTCAGCTGTGTGACGTGTTGCAGGTGCGGGCGTGCGGGCGTCAGTATGTCTTCAACACTACCTCGTACACGAAGTGTGAGTGCCGCCTCCTCCTCTTCCAGCGCCGCCTCCGCCTCCAAGGTAAGTTTTCTCCCTCCCTCCCTCTGGTGCTCTTGTTGTGACCACTCCTCCTCCTCTTGTGCCTCCCTCCCTCCCCTCTACCATCTACCACCTGGAGGGTGAAGACACAATACTATCTACCACCTGGAGGGTGAAGACACAATACTATCTACCACCTGGAGGGTGAAGACACACTAGCAGGGGGTCTCCAGCAACACACTGGCAGGGGTCTCCAGCAACACACTGGCAGGGGGTCTCCAGCAACACACTGGCAGGGGGTCTCCAGCAACACACTGGCAGGGGGTCTCCAGCAACACACTGGCAGGGGGTCTCCAGCAACACACTGGCAGGGGGTCTCCAGCAACACACTGGCAGGGGTCTCCAGCAACACACTGGCAGGGGGTCTCCAGCAACACACTGGCAGGGGGTCTCCAGCAACACACTGGCAGGGGGTCTCCAGCAACACACTGGCAGGGGGTCTCCAGCAACACACTGGCAGGGGGTCTCCAGCAACACACTGGCAGGGGGTCTCCAGCAACACACTGGCAGGGGTCTCCAGCAACACACTGGCAGGGGGTCTCCAGCAACACACTGGCAGGGGGTCTCCAGCAACACACTGGCAGGGGGTCTCCAGCAACACACTGGCAGGGGGTCTCCAGCAACACACTGGCAGGGGGTCTCCAGCAACACACTGGCAGGGGGTCTCCAGCAACACACTGGCAGGGGGTCTCCAGCAACACACTGGCAGGGGGTCTCCAGCAACACACTGGCAGGGGGTCTCCAGCAACACACTGGCAGGGGGTCTCCAGCAACACACTGGCAGGGGGTCTCCAGCAACACACTGGCAGGGGGTCTCCAGCAACACACTGGCAGGGGGTCTCCAGCAACACACTGGCAGGGGGTCTCCAGCAACACACTGGCAGGGGGTCTCCAGCAACACACTGGCAGGGGGTCTCCAGCAACACACTGGCAGGGGGTCTCCAGCAACACACTGGCAGGGGGTCTCCAGCAACACACTGGCAGGGGGTCTCCAGCAACACACTGGCAGGGGGTCTCCAGCAACACACACTGGCAGGGGGTCTCCAGCAACACACTGGCAGGGGGTCTCCAGCAACACACTGGCAGGGGGTCTCCAGCAACACACTGGCAGGGGGTCTCCAGCAACACACTGGCAGGGGGTCTCCAGCAACACACTAGCAGGGGGTCTCCAGGTGGCTTCCCTACGGGCTTCAATTATAACAAGCCTTAACAAACGAACAATACTTCCATCTCGTAACTCAACTTGGCCATCCCCGGCCACTTTTTTTCAGTGGAACATGTCTTGCGTTCAGGACTGCCCTGGGTGAATTGAGTCGTGGCGACCAAGATACCCTCCATATCACTTCTGCAAACTAAAAATGTGATTAGTAAGACAGAAATTACACAGGGATCAAATAAGATCACAGCCTTCCACCGGGAACAAAAAATTGGGCCTGGTGTGCTCAACAAATGGCACCGATGTTGTCACATGGAATAATGAGAGAGGGGGAGAGAACGAGAGAGAGAGGGAGAGAGAACGAGAGAGAGAGGGAGAGAGAACGAGAGAGAGAGGGAGAGAGAACGAGAGAGAGAGGGAGAGAGAACGAGAGAGAGAGAGAGGGAGAGAGAACGAGAGAGAGAGAGAGGGAGAGAGAACGAGAGAGAGAGGGAGAGAGAACGAGAGAGAGAGGGAGAGAGAACTATCGGAGAAAAGCGCCAAGCCATTACGACTATTTAGAGAGAGATAGAACGAGAGAGAGATAGAACGAGAGAGAGATAGAACGAGAGAGAGATAGAACGAGAGAGAGATAGAACGAGAGAGAGATAGAACGAGAGAGAGATAGAACGAGAGAGAGATAGAACGAGAGAGAGATAGAACGAGAGAGAGATAGAACGAGAGAGAGATAGAACGAGAGAGAGATAGAACGAGAGAGAGATAGAACGAGAGAGAGATAGAACGAGAGAGAGATAGAACGAGAGAGAGATAGAACGAGAGAGAGATAGAACGAGAGAGAGATAGAACGAGAGAGAGATAGAACGAGAGAGAGATAGAACGAGAGAGAGATAGAACGAGAGAGAGATAGAACGAGAGAGAGATAGAACGAGAGAGAGATAGAGAGAGAACGAGAACGTACGCAGAGCCAGGCCCAGGTGTTCTATAAAGTTCCGTGAGCCACCAATGTAAATGTATAGAATAAACTTGAGCCTGATAACATTGGGTTAAACATTAGCGGCCGCACAATACATAGGAGAGGGTTGGTCAAATGTCTTGCGTGTCTCAGGTCACTGACGTTATCACACAAGCACACAAAGCTCTCTGACATTGTGAACATATTAATTTATTTCTCTTGTCTAAATGGAATCTACATACAGTCATCCTTTTAAATAAGACGGTTCTTTCAAGCACACAGATCTTATGAGATGTTCAAATTTGTGATCACTGCCACAAAATATGATAAATTCAGTAAAAAATGAACCTGTTGTACCACTTACTGCCTAGACACGGTGAATGTTTCTTAATTCGTGTGTACCAATGTCAGGTAGACAGTGATGCCACAAATACCAGCCTCTCTGTCCTATGTTCTGCTTTGCGCCACGGGGTTCCCTCCCCGTCTGGCCGCTCCCCTTGGGGACCACGCTGAAAACTGTTCATATTTTAAGATAGGAAGAGGCAGCCGATGAGGATTGTGAGTGATGATATGGTGCGTGCTTCAGGAGCGCGTGCGTCCAGTGTCGGTGTGCGACGCCTCCTGGCTGGCCAAGATGTCGGCGGGGGAGGAGAGGCAGCAGGCCAGGCTGGTGAGGACGCCCTCCCAGGCCAACACCCTGGCCACAACCGTCCCGCAGAGCCTGGTCGTGAAGAACCTGGGCGGCAGGCACACCCCTACCAGGAGCAGCCTCAGACACTCCCGCATGCTCGTCCTCGCTAAAAACGGCTACCGTGAGTACTGCTCTCTCTCTCTCTCTCTCTCTCTCTCTCTCTTTCTTTCTCGTTCGTTAGTAACACACTCGCCCAGCGCTTTGGCCTGGGTTCGTATCCTGGCCGAAAAGGATTAACCGGGTGCCAATCCTTAATCTGTTCACCCAGCCGTGAATGGGTACCTGGTTGTTTAACGATTTGGCGGGTCGTGTTCCGGGGGAAATTAGGATTAAGGACAAGCCCAAAACGCTATGCGTGCTAGTGGCTGCACAAGAATGTAAGAATTCTTGTATATATAAATAAATAAATTATTGAATCTATGATCGGCGTCCAGATAACTTCTCCTTCACCCTGAGGAAGAAAACTTAAATCATAGAAAACGTCACATTTGCATTTCCCTCTGGGTAAACTGGCTTAAACATCAAGGCGAATCTTTCAGTCCGGGTTGGAGAGAGAAAAATTGAAACTGACTCACAAAGTGGAGACTTAACTGTGTGTCACAACACAGGAAAGAGCAGTGAGAGCGCAGTGCCATGTAGATGCCCTGACGAGTTATGAGCAGTGAAGGTAACCCGAGAGAAGAGGCTGGCGACGCTCAACACGCCCCACCTCTGTTGCCTTGAGGAGCCAACGACTTCTGGTGCTGCAGCATCACCACGAACTCCTCTCGTGGGCTTGGTATGAATTAACGCCGCCTCCGCTTGTTTTGCTTTGCGCGGAGAACCAGGATAGGGAGGGAGGGAGGGTTGTGGGGGATAGAGAAGCCATCATCAGCCGTGGGTCCGGTCTGTGCCCCACCCAGCCGTGGGTCCGGTCTGTGCCCCACCCAGGCGTGGGTCCGGTCTGTGCCCCACCCAGCCGTGGGTCCGGTCTGTGCCCCACCCAGGCGTGGGTCCGGTCTGTGCCGTTCACCATCACGAGAGCCACACCCACAATATGGGAGGGATATTTGCTGTCGCTTAAGGGGGGTTCCGTGTGGTGTTCCTTGACGTGGTTCCTTGTAGTGTTTCTTGATGTGGCTTCACGAGGCGTTTACTGAGGTGGTTTCGTCCAGCACAGCCGGATTATACCTGCCTCACAGGTGGTCGGGTGCACCTGCCTCACAGGTAGTGAGGCAGGCGAGGTATCCGGCTTTAATACAGGAAGTGTGGCATTAACCCAACGGTGTGACGTCACCGCTAACAACTATACTCATTCCCTTCCTCGTGTGGCCAGCTGTACCTCATGTGGCCAGCTGTACCTCATGTGGCCAGCTGTACCTCGCGTGGCCAGCTGTACCTCATGTGGCCAGCTGTACCTCATGTGGCCAGCTGTACCTCGCGTGGCCAGCTGTACCTCGCGTGGCCAGCTGTACCTCGCGTGGCCAGCTGTATCTCGTGTGGCCAGCTGTATCTCGTGTGGCCAGCTGTATCTCGTGTGGCCAGCTGTATCTCGTGTGGCCAGCTGTATCTCGTGTGGCCAGCTGTATCGTGTGGCCAGCTGTATCTCGTGTGGCCAGCTGTATCTCGTGTGGCCAGCTGTATCTCGTGTGGCCAGCTGTATCTCGTGTGGCCAGCTGTATCTCGTGTGGCCAGCTGTATCTCGTGTGGCCAGCTGTACCTCGTGTGGCCAGCTGTACCTCGTGTGGCCAGCTGTACCTCGTGTGGCCAGCTGTACCTCGTGTGGCCAGCTGTACCTCGTGTCACCAGGGAGGCCACAGTGACTGTGTCACCAGGGAGGCCACAGTGACTTGTCACCAGGGAGGCCACAGTGACTTGTGTCACCAGGGGGGGCCACAGTGACTTGTCACCAGGGGGGGGCCCACAGTGACTTGTCACCAGGGGGGGGCCACAGTGACTGTGTCACCAGGGGGGCCACAGTGGTGGTGTAGTGTTACTGCGTAATAAACACGGTGGCCTTGCACAGGTGCGCGTCGATTATTCGCCCGACCTTGCCGGCGGTATTCACACCCTAGATATTGTGGATTTCACCCTGGGTGTGGAGGGCCTCACCCTGGGTGTGGAGGGCCTCACCCTGGGTGTGGAGGGCCTCACTCTAGTTAACTACCTACCTTGTGGAGGTTCCGGGGTTCAAAGGTCCGGCCTCCTAGTTATAAGAACATAAGAACAAAGGCAACTGCAGAAGGCCTATTGGTCCATACGAGGCGGCTCCTATTTATAACCACCCAATCCCACTCATATACATGTCCAACACACGCTTGAAACAATCGAGGGACCCCACCTCCACCAAGCCCCACGCGGCATTTTGTTTCATAAATCGACAACCCTGTTACCGAACCAGTATTTACCCAAGTCTTTCATAAATCTAAACTTATCCAACTTATTCCCATTATTTCGTGTTCTGTCTTATGTTGATACTTTTAATACCCTATTAATATCTCCCATTCATCCACTTGTACACCTCTATCATGTCACCCCTAATTCTTCGCCTTTCTAGAGAATGTAATTTAAGCTTTGCCAATCTTTCTTCATATGACATATTTCCAATTTGAGGGATAACCTGTCATCCTACGCTGGACGCGTTGTAGTGATTTTATATCCATTCTAAAGTACGGCGACCAAAACTGAACTGCGTAATCTAAATGGGGCCTAACCAAAGCAAGATATAGCTGAAGAACAACACCAGGTGTCTTATTAGAAACGCTTCGATTAATAAATCCCAGTGTCCTATTTGCCCTCATTACGGGCATTTGTTCATTGATTTTTGGGTTTTAAATTCTTACTAATCATAACTCAAATCCCTTTCGCAATCCGACTTCGCAATCTCAACACCACCCAGCTCGTATCTTGTAACTCCTAGCTACAAATCATCATTACCTAGCCTCAAAACCTTACAATTATCAGCATTAAACTGCATCTGTCAATCTTTTGACCATTTCAAAACCCTATTTAGATCGTCTTGAAGTGATAATCTATTTCCGTGCTTATTTCCCTCCCGATTTTTGTATCATCGGCAAATTTGCAAATATTGCTTCTCAAACCTGAATCTAAATCATTTGTTTATATTATGATTAACAGAGATCCTAAGACAGAGCCTTGAGGTACTCCACTTACAACATTCCACTACGGGCTCACCATAGCCCGTGCTGCTTGGGACTTGTGTTCCGAGTAGCTGAATCTTAAACAACAATTACAACATTTTCCCGGCCTGACTTAACCCCATTTATACTAACTCTGTTTTCTTTGGTAGAGCTATGCCCTAATCCAACTTAATATGTATGTTCTTATGTGAGGAGTTCACGGGTCCTGTGGAAAGTGCACGGGGTCCTGTGGAGAGTGCACGGGGTCCTGTGGAGAGTGCACGGATCCTCTGGAGAGTTCACAGGACCTGTGGAGAGTTCAGTTTAGTGGTGTATGGTTGACATGTTCGTTGTGTCTTCAGTGTATCAAGTTTCTGTGGATCCCCTCCCATGTTGGAATATGTGAGAATGAACGAGCAGATGTGCTGGCTGTTGAAGGCGCATAAGGAGACCATATTGAATGCTTCATACCCAAGACTCTACTACAAATTAGAGGTACTGTCAGGCAACATCACCGTGACAAGGTAACTGAGGAAAGGATGATAGAAGCACAAATTAGTGAATATGTACGATGGTACAACAATTTTGCAGCTGGCAATCCCAATCATTATGGCCGAAGAGGAGGAGGACGAGGGAGAGAATCAGTAATAGCGAGAATCCGTCTTGGATACAAATATCCATGGAGATATGGAATAGAAACAACAGTTGATCAGCGAAGTTGCAGAATCTGCGGTGAGAGTGATGGACACCGCCTTGACCACTATCTACGTGAATGTGAACACCTGAGAGACATCAGAATCATGTGTAGAATAATGAACCCCATATTGTTTGAGTTAGGAAAACACTATTTGTCAAATATTGATACTGTTCTTAAAAGATTTCCCCATTTTGCACCCGCAAGATAGCTGTTAAGGGTTGATAGATGTTAATCTTCTTGTTTGAGGAGCTGTTCACCTGAGACAGTTAAGCAAGTCCCAGCTGTGTCTGGGTACAAGTGACAGGATGAACAACCCAGCGGGTTTTCTTCCTATTGGGGAGTGTTGTACATGCTGCTATGGCGGTGTGTCCACTCACAGGATGAGTGACGCTGCCCAATAAACTCGCCCCTCGGGGCAAATTTTTTTTTTTTTTTTAAGTGTATTGCAGCTGACGTCATTGTGGAGCCTCACGCGCCAGTAATCCTCATCTTCTGCTCTCCAGCTGTGCGTGGGCGGCGGTGGCCGACGGGCGGCGTGGGGCGCGTGGGCGTGCTGGTGGTGACAGCCCAGGTGTTGGTGGGCGTCATGGGCGTGACGCTGGCCGCCTGGTTCCTAGTGTGGGCGCCTTCACTCAAGTTCAGAGAGGTTCCCCACTATGCTGGTGTCCCGGTGAGTGGTGAGGTAGGCAGGGGGTGAGGGCAGGGGGTGATGGTAAGGGCAGGGGGTGAGGGCAGTGGGTGATGGTAAGGGCAGGGGGTGAGGGCAGTGGGTGAGGGCAGTGGGTGATGGTAAGGGCAGGGGGTGAGGGCAGTGGGTGAGGGCAGTGGGTGAGGGCAGGGGGTGAGGGCAGGTGGTGAGAGCAGGGGGTGAGGGCAGGTGGTGAGGGCAGGTGGTGAGGGCAGGGGGCGGTGGTAAGGGTAAGGGCAGGGGGGTGAGGGCAGGGGGGGTGAGGGCAAGGGGTGATGTTAAGGGTAAGGGCAGGTGGTGAGGGCAGGTGGTGAGGGCAGGGGGTGAGGGCAGGGGGTGAGGGCAGGGGGTGAGGGCAGAGGGTGAGGGCAGAGGGTGAGGGCAGAGGGTGAGGGCAGGTGGTGAGGGCAGGGGGTGAGGGCAGGGGTGAGGGCAGGGGGGTGAGGGCAGGGGGGTGAGGGCAGGGGGTCAGGGCAGGTGGTAAGGGCAGGGGGTCAGGGTAGTGCGCGGGGTCAAGGGGTCATGTGGGGTCAGGGGTTCAGACTTGCATGTTACAGCGTGACAATAGTTTATTGTGCTCCCCATACTCATCCTGTGAGTGGTAGTTTATTGTGCTCCCCATACTCATCCTGTGAGTGGTAGTTTATTGTGCTCCCCATACTCATCCTGTGAGTGGTAGTTTATTGTGCTCCCCATACTCATCCTGTGAGTGGTAGTTTATTGTGCTCCCCATACTCATCCTGTGAGTGGTAGTTTATTGTGCTCCCCATACTCATCCTGTGAGTGGTAGTTTATTGTGCTTCCCATACTCATCCTGTGAGTGGTAGTTTATTGTGCTCCCCATACTCATCCTGTGAGTGGTAGTTTATTGTGCTCCCCATACTCATCCTGTGTGTGGTAGTTTATTGTGCTCCCCATACTCATCCTGTGTGTGGTAGTTTATTGTGCACCCCATACTCATCCTGTGAGTGGCAGTTTATTGTGCTCCCCATACTCATCCTGTGAGTGGCAGTTTATTGTGCTAGTTTCCGTTGTAAATATGCTCATGCGAGGTATGCAACTGTTGTGGTTTGCATCCTCGCCAAGTATTGGTGTTGGCGGAAGAGTAGCTGGAGGATGCTAACCGGTTGTGTCCCGAAGATAACCCAACACTGGGGTATATTATCAGTGTTACCAGACTTGGTAAGGCCACTCTGAGGTTGGATGGTGTGGGGAGCGATGGGAAGTAGCGCGTCCTTGTGGTGGCAACAGTGGGCGAGGTCGTTAGGTGGGTCGCTCTGCCAATATAATGCTAATTTATTCTTTGCCTCATTGTCAGTTTTTGTTTATATATCTTGAATATAATGGAATGTTAACTTGCCTTAGGCCTTACTAGGTCTAGGGCATGTTAACATGGAAGTGTGCCGTGGGGAGCCGCGGGGTCCAGGGCAGGAATGTGTTCCTTGAGAGGTGGAGGAAGTGGACCAGTTTTTACAGTGTGGTTGTTGCTGCAGGTGCTCCTGGCGGGGGTGTTGGGCGCCGTGTGGATGGCCAGCTGGCGCAGACGTCGTCCCGCCTCCCTCGCCTGCGTCCTCAAGGTTTGTCTGGCCAGGTCTCCTGCCTCTCACACCACACTGGTGGGTTGTAGTCGACTGTTTACCTCATCCCGTGAGCGCTGGGGGGTGAGGTCACACAGGCACATCATGCACTCAACGAATCAACCCCAAATATATTTAGTTGATGATTAAGTTACATTACTGATGAGTTAGGTACATAATTTCCTCACATAAATCAACAATGGCGTCACAGTTTTTCCAACTAACATCAGCGTGACCTCAGTATGCCCTAACACAAAGAGTGAGAGTTCCTGCATTCAGCAATTTACATACAATTATAATCTGGCTCTCATGCGTCCCACACCCAGGCTGTAGGTGGTGGTGGGACGCTTGTAATCACCATCATGAATGTATTGTGCACCCCATACTCATAGTATGGGGTGCACAATACTATTCCCATTTGCCTAACATTTCTCGTTTTAAACTATATAGTTTCACATTTTAAATATATATATATATATATATATATATATATATATATATATATATATATATATATATACATATATATATATATATATATATATATATATATATATATATATATATATATATATATATATATATATATATATATATATATATATATATATATATATATATATATAACTGAAAACTCACACCCCAGAAGTGACTCGAACCCATACTCCCAGAAGCAACGCAACTGGTATGTACAAGACGCCTTAATCCACTTGACCATCACGACCGGACATAATGAGGTGATAGCCGAGGCTATTTGAACCACCCCACCGCCGGCACTCGGATAGTAATCTTGGGCATAGCATTTTACCAAATCACCTCATTCTTTGGGGCACACGTGAGGAACACAAATGCGAACAAGCCTGAATGGTCCCCAGGACAATATGCAAAGAATGAGGTGATTTGGTAAAATGCTATGCCCAAGATTACTATCCGAGTGCCGGCGGTGGGGTGGTTCAAATAGCCTCGGCTATCACCTCATTATGTCCGGTCGTGATGGTCAAGTGGATTAAGGCGTCTTGTACATACCAGTTGCGTTGCTTCTGGGAGTATGGGTTCGAGTCACTTCTGGGGTGTGAGTTTTCAGTTGCATATTGTCCTGGGGACCATTCAGGCTTGTTCGCATTTGTGTTCCTCACGTGTGCCCCAAAGAATGAGGTGATTTGGTAAAATGCTATCTATGCCCAAGATTACTATCCGAGTGCCGGCGGTGGGGTGGTTCAAATAGCCTCGGCTATCACCTCATTATGTCCGGTCGTGATGGTCAAGTGGATTAAGGCGTCTTGTACATACCAGTTGCGTTGCTTCTGGGAGTATGGGTTCGAGTCACTTCTGGGGTGTGAGTTTTCAGTTGCATATTGTCCTGGGGACCATTCAGGCTTGTTCGCATTTGTGTTCCTCACGTGTGCCCCAAAGAATGAGGTGATTTGGTAAAATGCTATGCCCAAGATTACTATCCGAGTGCCGGCGGTGGGGTGGTTCAAATAGCCTCGGCTATCACCTCATTATGTCCGGTCGTGATGGTCAAGTGGATTAAGGCGTCTTGTACATACCAGTTGCGTTGCTTCTGGGAGTATGGGTTCGAGTCACTTCTGGGGTGTGAGTTTTCAGTTGCATATTGTCCTGGGGACCATTCAGGCTTGTTCGCATATATATATATATATATATATATATATATATATATATATATATATATATATATATATATATATATATATATATATATATATATAATATAATATGCAGGAGATGAGTCACAATAACGTGGCTGAAGAATGTTGACCAGACCACACTAGAAGGTGAAAGGACGACGACGTTTCGGTCCGTCCTGGACCATTCTCAAGTGGATTGTCCACTTGACCACGTCCAGCTCTTCGGAGGTCGGGTGTGTACCCAAGATACAGCTCGCATTTCCCCTCTGAACTGCGACACTGAGGCGCTGGAACATGAAATTGGCCGCTCTTGAATCTCTAGTTTTCCCAATGAGGTCCTCACCCACCTCCCTTAGGAACTTAAGTTCACATTTACACCACGCGCCCAGAGTCTTGGAGCCTATCGGCACGAACCTGTAACTACGTTCTAGATCCCTGTACTTGTTGGTTTTCTGGGTCTCCCTGAAGGTGACCGCCCCGCCTCCCTCAACTGTGCTATAAGGTGGATGTACCTTATAGCCAATGCAGACGCACATGTGTAATCCCATACGACCTGTGTACCTTCCCTCCATGGCTGCTGGGTGACTCCATCTGGGCGTTTTTGGCTGTTGTCAGGTCTGCACAACTGAGGTTCCCTTTGTGCTGGACATCCAGCTGTAGACAAACTTCTCTTGATGTCATTGACTGCTTCATGTCTGGCAATCTTTCCCTGTGTCATTCGACAGATGAGACCATGGCTGCCGTATTGGTCTGCAACTATTTGCATGGCCGCAAATACACCAGTGTTCGGTGGAGATAGGGGCGGCAAGGCGCAGGTCAACACCAATACTTAGGACCCGATGGTCCAGGCATGGGGGCTTGCACAGCTAGGAGACGTGCTCTGTCCTTCTCTGAAGCTGCCTCCAGCAATGCTTTGGCAATGTTCTCCACTATGGGGCTATCCCATTTGGCCTGTTTGCCGTCGTTTGGAAAAGTTGGTCGAGTGTGTGAATTGGCATGTGTCCCACTTACCAGCTCCTTCCACAAATTTGGGATCACGAATCTTAGTGGAGTTCCTTAGATATTCTGGTAGTATTTCATTCACTGATTCACTTGTAGCACTGGTCGAGGATAAGAATGCCGGCAATGCTAATTGTGTTGCCTTGCGAATACCTATACCCCAAGAGTCTAACTGGGAGCGTTGCTTGGTCCCACTTGTCATCTTGCAGGGAGAGGTTTAACACTTTCATAGTTATTGACTTTAGGAGTGAGTCGTATTCCATTAATTTTGGGCTGTCAAAGGAAGGAGCACACTTGAGGAAATAGGTAAGTCTGGGTAAGGCCAGGCACCTTGTAAGAAGGTGCAAAGCATTGTGAGCATCCAACGCCCCTATTCTTTCCTCCATCCTTCTCAAGTCTTTCAGCTTTTCTTCGAGGACTACCTCAATGGCGTTCGAGCCCAGAGGTGCCCCTAGCAGCACACTGTTGGTGGGAGCGATCACTAGGGCTCCTAGCAATAAGATTCGTGCTGCATCTATGATTGGTTTGCTGGATGAGATGATTTCACACTTTGATGGGTTTAGTTTAAGGCCTAGCGCCTCTCCCGTCGATTTCACTAGCTGAAGATCTCCTAGCAGAGATTCCTGTGTTCCTGCCAGGGTGCCATCGTCCAGGCCAGATGTTGAATTCGCTGGACAACCTGCTTGTGACCTCTTTAGCTGCCATGCAGAAAAGGAAAGGGGCAAGTGGGTCTCCCTGCTGGACACCTTCTGCAGAAACAACTTCATGTTCCCCAAACAACAGTGTCGATTCCCTACTGTACCCTGCTGAAATGAAGGGAAGTAGAGAAGGAAAGCTTGTTCGAACTGCTTCCAGTATCGCATCCCTTTTTACCTGGTTGAAGGCATTTTTAAAGTCTAATTTAATTAATGCCTTATTTTCTGGGAGGTGCTTAATATAGGCTCGCGCTGCATGAGCTGCTGTTTCACAGCCATGGCGGACACCAAAGCCTAGTTGATGGGGTCGAAGCATCGTTGCAGCGTCTATGCTAATTTTTCTGACAGCTGCCCTAGTAACAAGGCGCTGAAGTGTTACCCACGGCATTAGGTCTGACACCACCTTCCTTCTTCTTGAGGGCACAAAGGGATGCTCCGTAGAAGAAGGGTTTAATTGTATCTGGGATCAGCCCAGAGAGGCAGTCGTTGACAAACTTCGTGACCTCTAACTGCAGTGTCTCGGCAACTTCGCCGAGAACAGGGTTTGTTATCTCCTTGAGGTGCTGAGGTCTTACTCCAGTGTATCCCCCTGCTGAGCCTGGCGGAAATGACATGATGGCTTTATATACCTCTGACGCTTAGAGGAATAGAGGTCCCATGTCTGGGGCATTTGTGTCCCGAGCAGTGGGTTCCCATGGTACTCTAGGAGGGTGCTTCTCTCTCTCTGTCAGTGAGTCGGCAGTTGCAGTATTTCTAGGGGCGATTGTTTCTTCACTGGTAAGTAGCCTAATTGCCCCTACTGTGTTGCCCTCTTCATTTTTTTGGGTCACTTGTGTTCCAAGCTTAAAATTGTCATTGGAACTCTTCGGTCTGCCACGACGAATATTATATATACATATATTTGTTATATCTCTATAAAATCATTTATTTTTCACATTGAATCACATAGTGAGGGAATGTGTGTGTGCAAATAATTTTGCTGACGCAGTTTACATTTGGTCAGGACTTCATCAGCAAGTGGTGTAGACTCCCAAATATACTTCTAACATAGAGCTCACAGTTACTTAAAGGGTCTGGTTGGTGTCCAGTAGGTCTGAAGTCGTGTAGTATCACCAGGCCTCACACTTGTCCAGGATGTGGTATTGTGACCCAACAGATATGAATAATTTAGTTAGGTTCTCTGAAAGCATGAGGCTGGTGGAAGCATTTGTGTGACTGTGTGTGGAAGTCGGTTTGGTTTAGGTGAGGCAATACTGGGACACAAATATATGCTGAATATTCTAAGAGCTTTCGCAATTATAAGAAGCTGGCGGTAACTTTAATGACCCAGCGCAAATGGAAACTGTAGCTGGAAGTGGATTCTGACAAGCTAAGGCACAATGAACAGTTGTTGAAGGTCAGAGGGGATGTCACAGATGTGGGGCAGAGATGGCATATTGGCTCAGACATGGTGGGGAAAACGGTTCTGATCTACAGGCTTTTCTGAGATGTTGACAAGCGAGCCACGGATGCATCTTTCCAAGGTGGCTTGCTCCCAGCTGGTGGACCTCCACTCCCACTGTAGCGGAGGCTGACCCATCGTGGAACTTGTGAGTTGACATTGTGTGTGCTGTTATGAAGTCATTAACATTTGGTGAGTAATTTGAGAATTCAGTTCATCTCCGCAGGCTAGGATGGTATAGTGATTAGCATTGTGTAGACTGATGCGGTTGCCAGAATGTTTTGTTTTGCCCCACACAAACACCACCCATCTATCCTAATTAAGTGATTAGGACACAGGTGGGGTTTGCATTAAACGTCAAAATTGAATGTACCTGAGGCAACTATATTGGCAGGGAACCACACAAGATTAGGATGAGTTGAGTTAAACATTACTTATTATATATATTCAATATTTACATTTCTCACAAACACCACTAAGTATCCTAATCACGTAATCCTTGACCAGCTTCCCCACTAGTCTACACAATTATAATCACTATACCATCCTAGTTTCCGGAAATCCCCTAGACTCTTAGACAACTGGCCCAATGTTAATCACTTCATAACAGCACACACTACTCACGATATCGGCTCACAATTTCTACCATGGGTCCGCCCAGTACAGTGGCATCCATGGATCGCTCGTCAGTACAGTGGCATCTGTGGCGCGCTCGTCAACCTCTCCGGACAGCTTGCAAATCAGAACTGCTTCTCTCACCTTGCTTGAGCCAATATATCATCTCTGCCCTACATCTGTGACACTCCCTCTGGCCTCTCTTCAACAACTCGCTGTGCCTTAGTTTCTCATGGCCCACTTCCAGTTAGAGTTTCCGGTCATGCCGGGAAAGGAACTAGTAGGAGAAAGTGTCAAACCATTACGACTATATAGCACTTGGAAGGTATCAGGATAAAGATTTGGGATGGGACGGTGGGAAATGAATGATGTCCAACTACTTGGGCAGTCGGGGATTAAACTCTGACCTGCTTGTAGCAAGACCGTCGCTCTACCATCCAGCCTAATGACCCGGTTGTGCCGGGTCAATGAAGTTCCCGCCAGCTTTTCATTATTGCTGAAACTTTTAAAGGATTTGGCATCTCAGTATTGTTATACCATCCTCCGAACACAGTCCATAAATGTTTCTGCCGGCCTCATATTTTGAGAGCCTAACTAAATTGTCTATATCTATTTGGGTCACAATTCTGGAAAGGGAGGTGTTTTTTACCTGTAGGGTTTATGGGTAAGATATCATGTAGCTCATCCTTACAGCGATTATAAGTATAGTTTCTCCATTCCCCGCAGGGAGTGTTGGTGGCGCTGTGTTGCGTGAGTGTAGTCACCTGTCTGTGTGTGTGTATCTTCACCGCCCTACACCTCACCCAGCTGGCCGCCATGACCTGCCACCCGCGCCACGCCGCCCTCCCACGCCCGCTACCTAACGCCCACTACCACCACGCCCCACTACCCGCAACGCAACACTCCCTCACCACCCAAATACCCTTAAAAGAGCTACCGAGGCACCATCTATCGGGCGGCGAGGACGACGAAGACGAGGCGGAGGGAAGCGGTCGGGAGCCCCGGGACCTGCCGGTCAGCCACCCTCCTGACGAGGGACAGCCGTTCCCGACAGCGAGGGCGGAGGATGTGTTGAACGTGACGTTCTGTGAGTGTGTGAAGAGCGGCCCCACCTGGGTGCGCATGTTGAGGTACCCGAAGCTGTCGTGTCTGGAAGTGAACAACATGTTGCCGGTGTTGTTGGTGGCCTCGTGTGTCGTCACCGGCCTCGGCGCCCTCCTCTCCGGCCTCCTTCTCTACCTCCTCTGGTCTTTCACCTCCAGTTTCTTTGGTCCTGCCAAACCTTATGAAACGCGCCCGTTTATATTTACGAGTCATTTAAAAGGCAACATCAAGGCCAGTAATGGTTCGAGCCCCAGAGAGACCAACGGAGACTCAGAATTCAGCTGACCAAGGCCTGCAGCGAGTTACAACAACACTTGGTCAGGCGAAATGTGACGAAATTACATGAATTTACCTGCGGCCCACTAATATTAGTGGCCTCGACGAGGACAGAAAGCCGGTGGCTTGTCGAAGGTCTCCCCCCCCCCCATTTGCGTTGATCTTTCCCAGTTGGACTTTAAAATTTAACAGCGTTCTGACATTTACGGCTTCGGCGGGTAGGCGGTTTGACGGATTTACAACCCTGTGGGTGAAAAAGCATCTGTTCTCAGAAATCAATGTAAATTGGCAAGACAAGAGACAAGTGAGATCTTGGAGACCGTCGGCCAGCACCACACAAGCGAGGGAAGAGTGCCACACTTTGTACCTGCTTACAGTGCCTTTCTTAAGTAACCCAAGTTACAAGTCTACCTTGTACCGTGTACCAACTCAGGAGAGACGGTGCACTGTGTTCAACTCCAGTGCTCCTGGTGTGTTATGTTTTAGAATCTCACACGGTAAACAACATGATCACTCGGTAGACAACGTGATCACTCGGTAGACAACGTGATCACTCTGTAGACAACGTGATCACTCGGTAGAGAACGTGATCACTCGGTAGACAACGTGATCGACACGTTAAAGTGATCACATGGTAGATGTGGTATACCGCGTGATCACATCTACCATAAAGTAATCACGGTAGAAAACGTGATAGATCGTTATCACAGGGTAGATAAAGGTACTCCAACGGTAGATAAAATGATCAGAGTAGATACAGTTATCTCACTATATTAAATGATTACACGATAACGCAGCATGATGGTAACCACACGATAGTCAGCAGCCCACAGCTCCGTATACTGACGCAGGAGTTCTGCACCGGGGGTTACCATACTCCTTGGAGACCATGGCAACCATACACTGAAATTAGATTAAAAGTGGAGCCTGGCTCCTGGCCGGGGTCGGGAAGTAGGACACCTCCCGAAACCCTGTCCAGGTATGATCCTGGTATGCTCCAGGTATGATCCTGGTATGCTCCAGGTATGTTCCTGGTATGCTCCTGGTATGTTCCTGGTATAATTCACCGTCATGTATCTTTATCTCGCGTGTGTACATCAACACAGCTGAAGATGGCATCATGCAGCTTTACTATTAAATGTTGCTATTCGATCTAAAATAGTTTAATGAGTATCTGTGCCTGTGTTTGTAAGAATATTTAACCTTAAGTAACCTGATCTTGAGACGAGGGATAGTCTTCACGGTGAGTCTGACGACGTGTGCGGCCAGGAAACCTATGGAGCCACGGACAGTCTGCCTGGCACTAACATGAAGCGCTGAATCTATCAAATTGTGCTCACACTGAAAGCTTTATTGAACTTCATAATTAAGTGAAGTGTTTATTGTATAAGTGACCTTAATCTTCATATGTACCCTGTGTAAATACTTATATAACACATGACAATAAATGAATAATTTCTATACTTTGCTTTATTATTCCAAACAAACAAAACAAGCATCCACTGGTCTAAACAAGCACCCACAGGTTTAAACAAGCACCCACAGGTTTAAACAAGCACCCACAGGTTTAAACAAGCACCCACAGGTTTAAACAAGCACCCACAGGTCTAAACAAGCACCCACTGGTCTAAACAAGCACCCACTGGTCTAAACAAGCACCCACTGGTCTTAACAAGCACCCACTGGTCTAAACAAGCACCCACTGGTCTAAACAAGCACCCACTGGTCTAAACAAGCACCCACTGGTCTAAACAAGCACCCACAGGTTTAAACAAGCACCCACTGGTCTAAACAAGCACCCACTGGTCTAAACAAGCACCCACTGGTCTAAACAAGCACCCACAGGTCTAAACAAGCACCCACTGGTCTAAACAAGCATCCACAGGTCTAAACAAGCACCCACTGGTCTAAACAAGCACGGGTCTAAACAGTAATTGGCAGATTTTTGGTATAAAAAGTCGGAATTTCAAACTGCGAATAGGTACAGAGAGCTAGAATTTGGGTCCAAAATACGGGTCAGGTATCGAATTTGTGATGTTTGGGATATTTTGAAAACTGCAGGGGGGTTTGGGCAAAATGTGACCCACCGCCGCTTTCAGTAATTGGCAGATTTTTTGTATAAAAAGTAGGAATTTCAAACTGCGAATAGGTGCAGAGTACATGAATTTGGGTCCAAAATATGGCTCAGGTATCGAATTTGGGATGTTTGGGATATTTTGAAAACTGCAGGGGGGTTTGGGCAAAATGTGACCCACTCCCGCTTTCAGTAGTTGGCATATTTTTGGTATAAAAATTCGGAATTTCAAACTGCGAATAGGTGCAGAGAGCCAGAATTTGGGTCCAAAATATGGCTCAGGTATCGAATTTGGGATGTTTGGGATATTTTGAAAACTGCAGGGAGGTTTGGGCAAAATGTGACCCACCGCCACTTTCAGTAATTGACAGATTTTTGGTATAACAAGTCGGAATTTCAAACGGCGAATAGGTGCAGAGAGCTAGAATTTGGGTCCAAAATATGGCTCAGGTATCGAATTTGGGATGTTTGGGATATTTTGAAAACTGCAGGGGGGTTTGGGCAAAATGTGACCCACCGCCGCTTTCAGTAATTGGCATATTTTTGGTATAAAAAGTCGGAATTTCAAACGGCGAATAGGTGCAGAGAGCCAGAATTTGGGTCCAAAATATTGCTCAGGTAACGAATATGGGATGTTTGGGATATTTTGAAAACTGCAGGGGGGTTTGGGCAAAATGTGACCCACAGCCGCTTTCAGTAATTGGCATATTTTTGGTATAAAAATTCGGAATTTCAAACGGCGAATAGGTGCAGAGAGCCAGAATTTGGGTCCAAAATATGGCTCAGGTATCGAATTTGGGATGTTTGGAATATTTTGAAAACTGCAGGGGGGTTTGGGCAAAATGTGACCAACTGCCGCTTTCAGTAATTGGCATATTTTTGGTATAAAAAGTCGGAATTTCAAACTGCGAATAGTTGCAGAGAGCCAGAATTTGGGTCCAAAATATGGCTCAGGTATCGAATTTGGGATGTTTGGGATATTTTGAAAACTGCAGGGGGGTTTGGGCAAAATGTGACCCACAGCCACTTTCAGTAATTGGCAGATTTTTGGTATAAAAAGTCGGAATTTCAAACAACGAATAGGTGCAGAGAGCCATGTCGGAAATTTGACTCCTGAGCGTGATTTTTGAGCCGAATTCTGACTCTCTGCGCCTATTTTCAGTTTCATATTACGACGTTTCATACCGAAAATATGCCAATTACTGTAAACGGCGATTGATCATATTTTGCCCAAACCCCCCTGCAGTTTTCAAAATGTCCGAAATGATGGAAATTTGACTCCTGAGCGTGATTTTTGAGCCGAATTCTGACTCTCTGCACCTATTTTCAGTTTCAAATTACGACGTTTCATACCGAAAATATGCCAATTACTGAAAACGGCGATGGGTCATATTTTGCCCAAACCCCCCTGCAGTTTTCAAAATGTCTGAAATGTCGGAAATTTGACTCCTGAGCGTGATTTTTGATCCGTATTCTGACTCTCTGCGCCTATTTTCAGTTTCAAATTACGACGTTTCATACCGAAAATATGCCAATTACTGTAAAGGGCGATGGGTCATATTTTGCCCAAACACCCCTGCGGTTTTCAAAATGTCCGAAATGTCGGAAATTTGACTCCTGAGCGTGATTTTTGAGCCGAATTCTGACTCTCTGCACCTATTTTCAGTTTCAAAATACGACTTTTTATACCAAAATATGCCAATTACTGAAAACGGCGATGGGTCATATTTTGCCCAAACCCCCCTGCAGTTTTCAAAATGTCTGAAATGTCGGAAATTTGACTCCTGAGCGTGTTTTTTGAGCCGAATTCTGACTCTCTGCACCTATTTTCAGTTTCAAATTACGACGTTTCATACCGAAAATATGCCAATTACCGTAAACGGCGATGGGTCATATTTTGCCCAAACCCCCCTGCAGTTTTCAAAATGTCTGAAATGTCGGAAATTTGACTCCTGAGCGTGATTTTTGAGCCGAATTCTGACTCTCTGCACCTATTTTCAGTTTCAAATTACGACGTTTCATACCGAAAATATGCCAATTACTGAAAATGGCGATGGGTCATATTTTGCCCAAACCCCCTTGCAGTTTTTAAAATGTCTGAAATGTCGGAAATTTGACCCCTGAGCGTGATTTTTGAGCCGAATTCTGACTCTGCACCTATTTTCAGTTTCAAATTACGACGTTTCATACCGAAAATATGCCAATTACTGTAAACGGCGATGGGTCATATTTTGCCCAAACCCCCCCTGCAGTTTTTAAAATGTCTGAAATGTCGGAAATTTGAGTCCTGAGCGTGATTTTTGAGCCGAATTCTGACTCTCTGCACATATTTTCAGTTTCAAATTACGACGTTTCATACGGAAACCACTAGCGGCCAAAAATCGTGCGAATTTCGCTGCTAGCGGCCAAAAATCGCGCGATTTTCGCCGCTACCGGCCAAAAACCGCGCGATTTTCGCCGCTAGCGGCCAAAAACCGTGCGATTTTCGCAGCTGGCGGGCAAAAATCGCGCGATTTTCGCCGCTACCAGCCAAAAACCGCGCGATTTTCGCCGCTAGCGGCCAAAAATCGTGTGAATTTCGCCGCTAGCGGCCAAAAATCGCGCAATTTTCTCCGCTAGCGGCCAAAAACCATGCGATTTTTGCAGCTCGCGGGCAAAAATCGCGCGATATTCGCCGCTGTTGGCTAAAAACCGCGCGATTTTCGCCGCTAGCGGCCAAAAAACATGCAAATTTCACAGCTGGCGGGCAAAAATCATGCGATTTTCGCCACTACCCGCCAAAAATAACGCGATTTTCACCGCTAGCGGCCAAAAACCGCGCGATTTTTGCCGCTAGCGGCCAAAAACCGTGCGATTTTCGCAGCTGGCGGGCAAAAATCGCGCGATTTTCGCCGCTAGCGGGCAAAAATCGGGCAAATATCGCCACTGGAGGGAAAAAATCGGGTGATTTTCGCTGCTAGCGGCAAAAATGGCAAGATTTTTGGCCGCTAGCGGCGAAAATCGCCCGGTTTTTGCTCGCTAGCGGCGAAAATCGCACGATTTTTGGCCGCTAGCGGCGAAAATCGCGAAATTTTTGGCCTTTACTCTCGAAAATCGCGCGATTTTTGACCGCTAGCGGCGAAAATCGCACGGTTTTTGGCCGCTAGCGGCGAAAATCGTGCGATTTTTGCCCGTCAGCTGCGAAAATCGCATGGTTTTTGGCCAGTAGCGGCAAAAATCACGCGATTTTTGGCCGGTAGCGGCGAAATTCGCACGATTTTTGCCGCCAGCAGCCAAAAACCGCGCGATTTTCGCTGCTAGTGGCCAAAAACCGTGCGATTTTCGCCGCTAGCGGCCTAAAATCGCGCTTTTTTAGCTGGTAACGGGCAAAAATCGGGCGACTTTCGCCGCTAGCGGCAATAATCGCCCGATTTTTGGCCGCTAGCGGCGAAAAACGCGCGGTTTTCGGCTGCTAGCGGCGAAAATCGCCCGATTTTTGGCCGGTAGCGGGAAAAATCGCGCGATTTTTGCCCTCGCGCTGCGAAAATCGCACGGTTTTAGGCTGCTGGCGGCAAAAATCGTGCGAATTTCGCTGCTAGCGGCCAAAAATCGTGCAAATTTCGCTGCTAGCGGCAAAAAATCGTGCGAATTTCGCCGCTACCGGCCAAAAATCGCGTGATTTTCGCCGCTACTGGCCAAAAACCATGTGATTTTCGCAGCTGACGGGCAAAAATCGCACGATTTTCGCCGCTAGCGGCCAAAAACCGTGCGATTTTCGCCGCTAGCGGTCAAAAATCGCGCGATTTTCTAGAGTAAAGGCCAAAAATTTCGCGATTTTCGCCGCTAGCGGCCAAAAATCGTGCGATTTTCGCCGCTAGCGAGCAAAAACCGGTCGATTTTCGCCGCTAGCGGCCAAAAATCTTGCCATTTTTGCCGCTTGCGGCGAAAATCGCGCGGTTTTTGGCCGGTAGCGGCGAGAATCGCGCGATTTTTGCCAGCCAACTGCGAAAATCTCTAGGTTTTTGGCCGCTAGCGGCGAAAATCGCGCGGTTTTTGGCCAGTAGCGGCGAAAATCACGCGATTTTTGGCCGCTAGCGGCGAAATTCGCACGATTTTTGGCCGCTAGCAGCGAAATTCGCACAATTTTTGGCCGCTAGCGGCGAAAATCACCCGATTTTTGGCCGCTAACAGCGAAAATAGCCCTTTTTTGGCCGCCAGCGGCCAAAAACCGCGCGATTTTCTCTGCTAGCGGCCAAAAAGCGTGCGAATTTCGCCGCTAGCGGCCACAAATCGGGCAAATTTCACCGCTAGCGGGCAAAATTCGCGCGATTTTCGCCGCTAGCGGGCAAAAATCAGGCGATTTTCGCCACTAGCGGCCAAAAATCGCGCGATGTTCGCAGGTAGCGGC